TGTTTGTGTGCGAGCCCAAAATCCCTGGAGGAAAATGAAGAAGGAATTGTGGTGTGGCCATTTCCCCTGGTGATGTGATCTCTCACTTTCCCTCTGTTCCTCCAGTGAGCGCATGTACCCTATAGCAAAAAACTTTTAAAAATGTTTAAACACTGGATGGCAAATACACTCATTAGAGAGAGAAACAGAACCCTCCCCGCCACCAGCGGTTCATGATCACACACCATAGTCCTCCTGTTTTTCCATCCCATCAGGATTTGGGGCATTCATGCGCACACGCCCAGAATGTTTTTCAAGCCACTGGGGCAGAATTTGAATTGTGCTTGGCCATGCGGAATTAGACCTCCAATGCACAGTGCTTAACCACTGTGCTACAGGGCCGACCCCCAACTTAATTTTAATATTCAAAAGTTTTGCTCCTGTATAGCTCCATCACTCCTTTTGTATGACTTTGTCCTGCAAATTGCATCTGTATGCATTATGTCACCACCAGCAAAGTTATATAATTATTACTTTATGTTGTTATATTTTAAACTAGGTAGGTGAAAAACAGTTACAATAAAAAAAAATTTATATTGTCTTTTATGTTTTATTACCATATTTATCAGTGCTCTTTATTTCTTTGTATAGATTCAAGTTACTGTTTAATGTTTTTTTCATTTTCACTTATGTAACTTTCCATGGAATTTCTTCTGGAGCAGGCCTGCTAGCAATGAATTTTCTTAGCTTTTGTTTATCGAGAATGACCTGGTTTCTCCATTTTGGAAAGGTAGTTTTTCACAATACAGAAATTCTCATTAGGGCCAGCCAGTGTCATTGTAGTTAAAGTGGCTAGATCCCACACGACTGACTGCAAAGTTCAAATTCAGGACCCTGCAGCTTGAGAAACAGGCTGGACACATGTATATGTGTGCCCAGAATCCGAAAGAGAGAACTGGAAGAGGAGGGATTGTAACACAGCCAGGCCCCATATGGAGTGCTTTCTCACTTTCCTTCTCTGTCTCTCTCCAGCAAGTACACACACTCTCTAGCAAACTTTTTAAAAAGAAAAAAGAAATTCTTGGTTGACTCCCCCCCTCCCCTCAGCAATTTGAATATGTGCCTTCTGGCCTCCCTCTACTGTTTCTGATAAGAAATGAGCGGTTAATCTTATCGAACATTGCTTATGCATAATGAGTTATTTCTCTCTGTGTTCAAGTTTCTCCTTTTGTCTTTGGCTCTGGACAGTTTAATTGTGATTTGTCTAAACTCTTGTTTTATCTTGCTTGGAATCATTGAGCATTTGAATGTATGGATTAATTTTTTTCAAGTATTTGGGAGTTTGGGGGCATTATTTCTTTAAGTATTCTCCTTTCTCTTCTCTCCTGGGACTGCATTGTGCTTATGTTGGCACACTCGATGTGCACACTTCTTTGTGCGTATGTTGGCCCAGGTCTCTGAGGCTCTGTTCATAGTTCTGTATTCATTTTTATTTCTATTCGAGATTAGATCATTTCAGTTGTTCTGTCATTAAGTTTACTGATTCTTTCTTCTACCTGGTTACATCTTCTGGTGAGCCCTTACACTGATTTTTTTTTTTTTAGTTCATTTTTATATATATTCAACCCTAGAATTTATGATTTCTGTCTCTTTGTTGGTATTCTCTGTTTGATGAGACATCATTCTCAAACTTTCCTCTAGTTCTTTAGATATGAAATCCTTTAGTTCCTTGAATAAGTGTAAAATGACTGATTTAAAGTCTTTGGTAAGAGTGCAGTACCCAGGCTTCCTCAGGGACAGTTTTATTTTATAATTTTTTAAAGAATTATTTTATTTGGGACCAGCAGTTGGTGTAATGGTTGTGTCGCTGGACTCCCATGTAGCCGACCGTGGTTCGAGTCCTGGACCCGGTGGCTTAAACTCAAGCTTGGCACGTGTGTATGCGGGCCCAAGATCCCAAGAGGAGAATGGAGGAGAAGGGATTGCCATGTGGCCTCCCCCCTGGGGGGTGATTTCTTGCCGTCTGTCTCTTTCTGTCTTTCTGGCGAGTGAACACGCTCTATAGCAAAAACCTCTCAAAAAAAAAAAAAAAAGATTTTATTTAACCGTATTTATTTATTTATTTGTTAATTTTTTAGATTTGACCAAAGAGGGACAGAGAAGGTGAGAAAGCAAGCTGCCAGGTCCAGGACTCAAACTGCAATTGGCCATCTGGGCGTCCAGTGCCCTTAGCCACCGTGCTACCTACTGGCCCCATGGACAATTTTTATTAACTGTTTTTTTCATATGTATGGCTCTGACTTTCTTGTTTTTTTAAATATGTTTCATAATTTTTTGGTTGAAAACTGGATTTTTAAATAATATGGCAGCTTTGAAAATAAAATACTTCTCTCAGGGTTTGTTGTGTTACTTAGTGACACTTCTGAACTGATTCTTTTAGGTCCATTTTATTTATTTCTCCATGAGTGTGAGAGAGACAGCACCCCCGACAGGGCTCTTGATGCCACTTCCAGGCTTCAGCCAGCTCTGGATCTTGGGCAAGCCTGTGTCTGGTGTGCTCAGGGAGATCTCTGGACTTAAACCAGTAACCTCCCATGTGGGATTGTGTAGAAGAACATCATCATGTTTTACCTTTGTGCTACCGTCTGGCTGCTCCGAACTAATTCTTTATGAAGTTGATGTTCTTGTGGTGTACGAAGTCTGCTTGGCTAGCTTAGTGGTCACTTAATGACTAGTGTCTTCAATGCCTAGAACCAGAAAGTCTCCCTTTCTTCACCAAGGAGCTCAGTGTGCATGTTGGGATATGCCTTTAGCACCCAGCTAGGCCATTTACAGCTACGCATCAGCCTAAACTTTCTACTTGCACAGAGCCTCAGAATTAGTCAGACAGGGGAGCTTAGGGCCTTCTCGGGTCTGTCCCGGACATGTCTACAGTTTATGCATGGGACTTTCTAATTCCCAGGCTTACCTCAGAGCTTTTAAAAGCTCCACCCCTCATAGGCAGCTCATTCCTTAGCTCTTATTTTTCATCTTTTTGGTTAGCTATTGTTTGCCTCAACTATTAACCTCATCCTCAGGCAGCTTCCACACTAAATAATTGCCTCTGGTTGTTTTTGGCAAGCTCGTTTTAGGGAAGGACTGATGGAACTGGGTGAGCTCTTAGTTAAGTCAGTGACAGCATTATAAGTGGCGTCTTGGCGGTGGAGAGAACCACCATCAAGTCAAGTAATGACATTTTCATGGGAATGGGGCTTTAGAAGACCCTACAATCCTGTCTGCCCCCTCCAGTGGCTGCTGGTTTTCACTGTGATTATGAGCTCTTGGTTTTCTTTAGATTTTTACTGTAGGACTCATGTGGAGAGACAGAGACAGAAAGGAAGAAATCACCCCACCCTATCCCTCAAGGAGATGACTATGGTGCAATCCCTTCTCCTCCATTCTCCTCTTGGGATTTTGGGCATGCATGCACACGCATCCAGTGTGAGTTTTAAACCGCCAGATCCAGGACTCAAACCATGGTTGACTACATGAGAGCAGCAACATAACCCTTTTGCTATTTGGTGGTCCCTGTGAGCTGTTGGTTTTCAAGGCTACCAAAGAACTAGAGAGGAGAGAATGGGAATGAGGCAAACTAAAATGCCACCAAGCTTGCTGCTTACTGGAATCCAGCTGTTTTTCCAAGTCTTTGGAAATTTAATTTCCAGAAATCTAAAAAAAGTTGATTTTGGACATTAGCCAGTATTCTTACTGCATTATGGAGGGAAACATTTTAGAATTTCTTACCCTCACATTTTTACTGACATTAGTTTGATACAAAGAATTTAACCCACAGGTAAATATCAGAAACTGATAGAGACTTAAAAAAAACCACACAGATTAATTTTTTTTTCTTTAGTAACATTTTAGAATGTGGGATAGCCTCTGTTACAAGTTGGTTTAAATTCTTTCAGACTATATTCTGTTGATGTGATGTCATTTGTAATGTGTACATGCATCTGTGTATAATATGTAGTTTGTTTTATGTGGGTTTCTAAAAATACCTGGGTTAACAGTGTGCTTTAATTTGCATCTTGCTTTTTTTGAAACCCTTAAGTGTATTTCTTGGAGTTCTTTCTACTGTATACTTAGAGATATATATATGTGTAACAATTTCTATGGTATTTCATGGTATAGATGTACGTTATGGTCCTAACTACTCCAGTTGATGGCTTCTAGTTAGTTTGGAACAGCCAGGAGAACTAGAGACAATGCCATACCTAATCTTTTCACATATGCCTCTTTATTCCATGTAACAATATTTCTCTGGGGTGGCTGTCTTTAACCTTGTTTGACTGTATAGTATGTGCATTTAAAACTTTAAGATTACCTTAAAATTACTGCCCAAAAGCCTAAAGTAGTTTACATTCCTAGCAGTAGTACATGAGAGTAACTCTTCCCATACCCTCACCAATACTGGACAGTATTATCAGCATACTGTTTTGGAAGTCTGGGGGAAAATGGGATGTTACTGATTTTTTAAAATTTGTACTTAAATTACATTCTGAAGGACACTGCCAGTCC